AGCCTCATATCTCCCGCACCCTTATAGCTATCGAGACGCAACCACCCCTATGCACGAATGGAGACTTGGGGCTACCACCACATACAAACACCATTCACGTGCGATGTATAGTTTTGGCGAAAAAGTGAGATATAGGGACATACATGTCCATTTTTTTATATATAGATATAGATATAGATATAGATATAGATATATAGATATAGATATAGATAAAAACGAAATAATAAATTTATATAAAGTAGTCAAAAAGTGCATTTACCGGAGTATATTTAAAGGTTTTATTACCATAATCGACGAATATACGACATTTTTAAACATTTATAAAATATATTTGCGTTAACTGACTTTTGAAATAATCTTTATTTTTATCGATATTCATTTATTAAAATGTAATAAATTTCAGTTATAATGGAAGGTTATATTTATTACTGAGAGATTACGAGGGCATAGAGTTAGTACCCTAATTACCACTTACACGTCGAGTTGGTAAAATCGCCCACGTCGTCGTTTCGGATGGCTTTGTATCGAGTGGCGAGGGAGGTGAGAAAGTCGGCAGGTGTCCGTGGTTCCGAATGACAGAAGACAGGTTAACAAAATAACAAATTATTTATTATATGGCTAACACTAAGATACAGGAGGTTACACAGCGTTAAATGCATATAACTCTAGGTTATATAGGCTACGTGCGATTAACATAAGATTACAAAGCCTGTGATTGACAACTGTTTATTCTACTCTGTGACAGCTATGCCTACTTCTGTTACGAGAGAGAGAGTTCGCAAACCGCTAATAATTACCTTTAAACTTGGAGGGGTGCTATATGCGGTGATAACCGTTCTTTATGGAAGCGTTGGGCGTTGTCGAAGTCTTTTACTGTTGTCTTCTCCGAGAACTAGGTCGAGTCCGTTGCATGGAGGTGCGGGAGACGAGGAATCACTAATATCAAATATAACTTCCGTGTGTGAACTCTCGAGCTTTCGGTGGCTCGCACCATTTATATGGTTGTCGTGGGAAATCTAACACGTGATCTACTTTTATTGACGATAAGGGTGCATTTTTGACAGCTAAGTGTCAACTTTCCCACTGACTTGTTTTTACAACCGGTGACCTCTGATCTAATTTCTACCTCTTCGTTTTTTTCTAACTAAGATGTTTACATTTTGAAAACAATTAACATTAATTTTTGATTTTAGGAGCGATGTGAAAATCCGCGGACTCACATTACCGATTTATCAATAGAATTAAGCATCCTAATTGACAGCATATCTTATGAGATAAAAATTCTGAAAATGTGGAAATCAGTTTAAACATTAACAGAAAGTTCTAATCGTAGGAAATAGATTAATTTCATTGCCTAAATGATTAAAAATACATCCACGTGTACAGTATACATCGCAAGAATTCAAATTTAATTAAAAGAAAATATTATAAAATAAAAGTTATATTTCTTTTAAAATATTCTAAAATATTTGAAAGAATATATGGCGAATAATATATTTAGAGTACTTTTTGAAAACTTTTGTATGTTTTTATTTTTTATTTTTTTGCAAGATTTATGCATAGTGTATTAAGATTAATTGTAAAATCGGACAAAATGTTCGTTAAATGATTATTGCACGTATAAAATATTCAATATTGTTAATATCAATTCAATATCAATCAATTCAATATCAATTCAATATTGTTTATTTTTTACATAAAAATTTTTATAAGTCATATAGTTTATTTGTTTGTGAATTTTATTAACATAAATCAGACTTTTAAATATGAGATACCGGTATATTTGTTTTACAAGTATTTCAAATTTTAAAAATTTATAATCTTATAACACATATTAGCAGATTTTCCAGAATCCTCTGGAACTAAGGTAAGAAACAGGTATTGTAAACATGTAACAAGTAATTATATTTGATATAAACTCTCTCAGGTCGAAGTCTATTGAGACGTTATATATTTAGAGGTTAGTCTCTGATCTCTCCATTTATATTTTTGTATAGTTACTCCTTTGATTAATTTATTTTAGTTATTATTAAGTATAGATTCAATTTACTTCAATTTAATTAAATAAATAGTTTTTATATTTTAAATCGTCTAAGTGCCTAATTCCATCATCGTTCCTACGTATATCGTTGATCCCACGTGGAAGGTATAAGTAAAACCCTCCTATATTTAAGTTTAACTACAAATCACGAGTTAGGACGAATAACTATCCCAACTGGTGTCATCCTCCTGACGTATCGGACAGAGAGATTTGGCTGATGTTACTTGTCTAATAAAATTAAACCATCCTGAACATAAAGCCGTTTTTCACATTACGTGTCAGGAGTTTGGATCTTTATCCTGACATGGCGTAGATCTCACAACTGGTGTCCACAGAGTGGAGCCAACAAAATACAGTAGATCCCCCTATAAGACGGTAGATACGTTCCGTTCTTTATGAATCAATTTTGTAGGAAACATAGTTTACGGACTACGGCTGTTTGAAAGGTTTTCTTTCATAAAATTAATCGATTCTAGACTAATTCGACTCAACATTTCCAAAATACGTATATTTTTTTGAAAATAATCCGTATAAACTACGTTATAAACAAAAAATTGTAGGATTGCTTACCGAGTGTGTACCGTTCGACTACGCCCGTTGCTAAAGCTTGGTTTCGTCGCGGAACAGCGCATCAAACCGCGGCCGCGATTTCTGATATTATTTTTCTGCGAAAACTTCGTTGACCTTTGGAGACATCCTTAATATAAATAATTTTTATGGCCGTTAAATAAGAAATGTTTCTTTCACAAGAAATGTATAAAATTACAGTACTGGACAGACGATAGGTCGCCTAACTCGCCGTAGCGTGACGCTAGACGGCGAAAAATATATATTTAATTATAATAAAGTTACAATAAATTAAGTTAATATATAATTATATATACAGTACCTAATTTATATATAATTAATATATAATTATATGTACAGTACCTAATTTATATATAATTATATGAACAGACGATACTAAACTCAATTTATCCGCCTAAACGTCCGTAGCGTGGCGCTACGGACGGCGGGAAAGTAGTTCGGCTGCCCGATGACGTTTTACGTATTATAGGAGTTATTTTTACCGTTGTTTACGGATACTGCCACAATTTTTATAGGAATCATAACTATAGGAAACGGTTTTATAGGGGGATCTACTGTACTTCAATTTTTTCAACGGCTTTCACGGAAAAAAGTTGAATTGAAGTAACTTGACTTCCGGTTTGAATCGGTCGTTTTCATATAGTTAATCGAAGGATCCGGCCTATAAGGTTTTCATATCTAATCTCGTCTTTCATTTATCTAACTCTGTTTGCGAGTTCAAGAAAAGACAAACGTATAGACTAACAAACAGACGACAATGGAAATTTATAGGTCTACAGTTTTTTTTCAAATTGTAGCCAAAATATCTGTATTTACAAAGATTTTTTAGATGGTGTCTTATCCTACGGACAAGAAAAAAAACACTGTTTATGGCCGCACCAGCAGGTGGTTCCAAATCAATCTTTTATAAAAAAAATATTTTCTCCAAAAACATTCCCCGAAGAAAAATATGTCAAGTCAACACTATACACGGGGCCGCTTAATTCAAATTTGTTTGGGTCTCATGAATCTATAACGCTAGTTATTGTTTTATGGTATGCATTATAACACCGTTTATAATGTATTTTGGGGTATAGAATACGAATATGCCCGTCAAAGTTTTCCATCGAGCGTTTTTTTTACATTTGCATTTTTTAGAATAAAATGTAAATTACGTGAACATATTAATTAAAAGTACGCAAATTCTATTGTTTGTAAAACCTCGTAAGGACAAAAATTGATTATATTGTTTAAAAAATAGTGCAGTCATTGATAAATAACTTGTGCAGATTTTAAAGTTATTGTATAACATAGATTATTCTTGTAATTATTCAAAGTAAATTCGTCAAATTAAGCAAATATTGTAAATTATTCAAAAGGTGTTTATGAAAAATTGTTGCATTTTGGTATTTACTAGAAATATAACACTTATTCGGTGTGTATTCCGACACGTGCGATATAACAAAGGGCTACTGTATTACTAGTAATACAGTAGCCCTTTATAGTAATATGAAAAAATAATTTAAAGAATTTCGTGATTTATATTAATTTTACTAATTAAATATTACGATGATGTCTCTTCTTCACTGATAGAGATGCAAGTTATTTCTCAAATAGCGACAAAGAATAAGAATGTTTTTGCACTTAAGAAAGCACAAAAATTATGAACGTTACTTAAAACGTATTTCAAAACATTGTAAAATTAAGAACAATTTGAGGTTTAATCCCTATTTGAAAAGAATTAAAAAATGAAATAATATATAGAATACAAAAATATCACCTAAAACATATATTGTAAAAATAAATAATCTATGATTTGTAAAAATATTGTTTCTTTCTTTTTTATACCATCTTTAAAACCTTCAGCGTATGAACTTGCGTAACGAAATGCATAATTCTAAAAGTATTCTAATTATTAAGGATTGTTCGGTAAAATCAAAACTATCACTTACATTCACCAGTCAATATAGCAAAATGCACTTAAGTTACGCGACTTGTATCAAGGTATATAACTCGGATCCAGTTTAGGAATGATTTCGTAGTCAACCTTAACCATTAAATTTAAAAATCAAATATTTAATTTATGATTTTAAAATTCCTATAAGGTTAAAAAATAAATAAGTAATTAACTAATTTTAATTTTTAAATTTAAATTGTAAAAGGAGTAATTATAAAATCTTATTTAGAGGTAACGTTGGTAAATTGGCGATAAAATTAATAATTTTTAAATTATTTCTTGCAACATCTTGCAAAAGTCTGTAGACTTTTAAAACTTATATTTATTTCTTTATTTATTTATATTATTCTTTAGTTTTTCAGCATTAATTATACCTATGTTATTATTCTGAATAGCATATCTCGAATTAAATCAATGCCAGATGGTTCAATTGCACTTTATGAAAGAAAGAATTATTAATCGTTGTCTAAATACATTTACTCAGAAGCAACGAAAACACAATGTACAGTACTGCACTTTCATAACAACGAGACTCTGCAGTGAAGACAGATTTACAGATGTGATAATTTTCGTGGAGAGAAAGCAGATGATGCAGATGAATAAGAAGAACGAAGAAATAATTTGAATCTCAGATTTCATATTTTTTTAATATGACGATAATATCATAATTTCTAAATATTAGACTTTTTATACGATTGTTTGACAGTTTAGTAACTAAATATGCTTCTTACAAAAATAGTATGTAACATCACTTTCTATTTTTTTATAGCCTCCGTTTATGATTAGCTTCTTTTACATTCACCTGCCAATAATTAGAATATAACCTTTTAAGAAACCAAATTATTTTATATAATTTTATTGTTTTCGTGGAGAAAAGCTTACACGTATACAGAACATCAGCATTTACATTGAAATTATACCCCACGCATGTGAGAAAAGATATGCTTCTCTAATAAATGTAAGGCAAAAGTATTTGTCATGTCCCCAGAAAGAAACTTAATCCTTATTTTGTCAGACAGTTTTGTGTCATTAAATTAGTATAAAAGACAACTCGAATAAAATGTTGCCTAACGAAAATCCCAGTTTTAAATTACAAATAGGTGCAAATTTTGCAATTTATGAGTTACACGTCTCCATAAACTAAATTCGAGTCTAGAATTGATTTTATTAAATTTATCCAAATATTATAATGTTAAATTATCTGAGTACATCTGATTCCGAGATACTGTACTTCAATTTTTTCAACGGCTTTCACGGAAAAAAGTTGAATTGAAGTAACTTGACTTCCGGTTTGAATCGGTCGTTTTCATATAGTTAATCGAAGGATCCGGCCTATAAGGTTTTCATATCTAATCTCGTCTTTCATTTATCTAACTCTGTTTGCGAGT